CTCACACGCGCGCACATAGGTGCTCGTCCATTTGTACAACTTGGGCAGCCCTGCTGCACTTGGTAACACTTGTAGTCAATCTACACCTGAGTCGTTTAAACGGATCCTCTGTGAGGAAGGAAAAATTTCCATTTTGCACCAGGGCATGCAGGACGGGCTTAACAAGCTGATGCCCTTGCTTGGTCCCGAGGGCGTGCAAATCCTTGCTGCGCAAGGCCCCGAGGCTATCGGTGAGCGTCTAGAGGCATTTTCAAGTCACGAAAACGCGCTGCTAGAGCACCTGCAGCAGACACAAATGATGCAGACATCTTTTGGTGGTCGAGCGCGGGAATGGGCACTGACGTGCGGCACTTCGGTCGGAGCTGCGTTTCCCTCCAGGGCGGAGCTGAAATTGCAGCTCACACGAGTGTTTTTGCCGCCTAATCAGGCATACCGCGTGCGATCGCGTTTCCTTGCCACACGACAGGGCAACAAGGAATTGGTGGACTTTGTCTAAGAGATGCGCTCTCTCATTGCCGGGATGGCAGCAGATCCTATTTCCGGAGGCGGTCACAGTGACCGTCTTTATGGAGGCCTCCGCACTGGTGTGGCCAGAATGAATGTCTTCCGTGTTCATCCGTAAACATTGGAAGAGGCGGTGAATGTGTCATTGAATGCCGAATTCAGTTTCAACTCGGCACGACTTGTTTGAAATGCACACTCCAACAGCTCGTCGAGCGGGCCTATGCTCATGGATCTCAGCTATGCTGAGGACAAGGGAGCAGAGCTCCAAGCTGCCGGGCAGCAAAAAAACTCAGGACAGTGTTTTGCCTGTTAAGACACCCATCGCCTTCCCCCTGCGCAAGGCGCGTTAGGATCTTCGAGCCATCGCCCCAATGCCTACCAGTCTGGTTCGTCGCAAAGAAACGACACCACTAGTAGGCGTGGGGTGACCTACTGGGGAAGAATAGGTTAACAGGGCCCAGCCTCGAAAAGCTCCGTGCTCTTGTACACGGAATGTGTATGCAAGCCGGGCTTGCTGGTCGTGGAGGCGGCCGTAAAGGGTTTCGAGAAGCCATGGGAGATCCTCATCGATTCCGGGGCGTCGGGCAATTATGCGCGACGCTCCACGATGAAAGGAAGTCAGTTATTGGCTGAGACGCTGAAAGCGCGGGTGGGAGACATCGTCACTGTTCGCCTAGCGACGGGGGCACATGTCACGGTCCCGATGGTCCCTATTGACCTCGGAGTCAAGTTCCTTGACTTTGACAGCGTGAAACGCGGTCTAGTCTTAGACTTGGATGCAAGGTATGAAATCATCGTAGGAATGACATGGTTGGAGAACCATGAGCCAAGGATTGATTGGAGGTCAAAGATCTTGGGCGCTACGCGCTCGTCTCTTGGTGGAGGTTTGACGAGTCACAAACCCACCTCTGGTAGGAGACAAAAGCGCTATTGGTGAGAGCACTGGCCCGAGACGGTCAACGTGCTGGCCATTGGAATGTCCGAGTTGGTAGACACCAACGGCGTATCGGACAGGAGTCCCGAGCGTGGCTCGCAGGCTGATCGTGGAGTGGCACGTAACCCACTGAGCGCTTCTCAAGTTTTGGAGCAGTCGCTGCATGTCATGCGGGACATGGTCGGCCAAGGGCCGAGACATCGAGGGCTAGGCACCCGTGATGCACGTGAAGTGGCACGTAAACCACTAAGCGCTGCTCGAGTATCGAAGCAGGCATCTTGGGCACGGCCCTTCAGATGCGCGTGGAGTGGCACGTTATCCAATGGACGAAGACTGCGGGGTTAGCAACTCTTCGTCGGATGTTGTAGATAACATCGGAGCTCCAAAGGTGCAGAAAGTGAGGGTGACACCGGACGACGCGGAGTGCGTGTTCAACCTGGTCTCACTGAGACTTAGAACCTATGTAGAGAGGCGCCATATGCTGGCTGCATGACGCCGGGAGCCGACCCTGATCCAGGTGTGTCTACCGTAGACGATGGCACACAGTTATACACCCTTGTCAACGGTATGACGGGGGGGGATGGCGATGTCCACCTCGAGGCTTCGCCTGCAGTAGATACTCTTCTAGAGCTGGATGTCCCTTGAAGAGTTCGGCAGTGCCTTGAAGGCAGGCGATTTGGCTGAAGTGGTCATTGCACGACCGGACGAGGAGATAAATCGTCATCGCTTCTGGATGAAGCTGTCTTGGAAGACACCAAGAGAGTGCTGAACGCAC